TGATGATGATGGTGATGATCATGATCATGATCATGATCATGATGATGGTGATGGTGATGATGATGATGGTGATGATGCTGATGATGATGATGGCGATGATGATGATGATGATGATGATGATGATGATGATGATGATGATGATGATGTTGTTGATGATGATTATGATGATGCTGATGATGATGATGATGATGATGATGATGATGATGATGATGATGATGATGATGCTGCTGCTGATGATGATGATGATGATATTGATGCTACTATTGATGTTGCTGATGATGGCGACGGTGATGGTGCTGGCGGATGATAATGGCGATGATGGTGATGCTGCTGGCGATGATGATGACGATGATGATGATGAATACGATGATAGTGATAACTGATTGCTGGAGGACACGGAGAAGGAGGAGGAGGAGGACGGCGATACTCAGCAACAGCATGGCGACGAGAAAGCAGGAGTTTACCCTCCTGCTTCCTCCCATCTCCCTCCTCTATCCTCCCATCGCTCTTCTGATTGTCTTACGTGTCTCCATTTATTATGGGAATCCTCTCTGAGTGAATATTCAGTAAACCGAAGCCCCTGTACATATTTCCATCACCACAGTTGCACCGCAGACCTGGTGCAAGCGCTCAGCTAGACTAGAAGCCCGCGTGTGGTTCTAGCAACTCCTGAAGGAAGAGGAGGGGGAGGAAGAGGAGGTGGGCGGGGATGGGGGAGGAGGAGAGTAAGGTCGAACAACATGTATCACACTATCCTGCGATGGGCCTTTTGTTTTTATGCAGACGGCGCCCCGAGAAATTGCTCTTCTTCATTCCCCGACCCGCTCATATTCGCTCACACACAGACTCACTCATACTCTGACTCACTCACACTCAGACTCAGTCACTGCCTCACTCACACTCAAACATTCGTATTCAGACCCAGTACGCTCCGATTCACTCATATACTCTTCCCATACTGAGGCTCTGACTCACTCATATTCATTGGTGGTCCACTGCTCACCGCGATATAGCAGGCGTAGCATCTGAGCACCCCTATGAGGGGGGGGGGGGGGGGGGCACAGGTCAGGATATTCTATGAGTCGCGCCCAGATTCCGGGGCTGTCTCAAGCGGTTTGCCTGTTTGCATGCCCAGCACCCTTTGCTTTCGGAGCAGATTGTGAGGCCAGGCGAGGCGCTGGCTTCAGCACTCTGACGGGGGTGGGGTGGGGGCGACAGTTGTCGGGGCATTCCAGCATTCGCACCCTTGTTGTGGGGGTCTCTCAGGAGGTTTGCGCGTTTGCATGCCCAACATCCGTGTCTTTCGGTTCAGATTCTGGGGATGTCTCAGCATTCCTAAAAGGGGGGGCGTCAGGGGCGGGGAAATTCCGAGACCCGCGCCCAGATAGCGGGGATGGCTCATGCGGTTTGCCCGTTCGCGTGCAGCGCATCCTTTGGTCTCGGAGAACACTTCAATGATGTCTCGGTCGAGGCGCTGGTTTTAGCACCCCGAAGGGGGGGGCGCCAGGGTTCAGGACATTCCGGAATTCGCCGCCGTATGTTGAGAGTGTCTCAGGCGGTCTGCTCGTTCGTGTGCTCAATTTCCCGAGCTTTCGGGGCCGAATTCGAGTGTGTCTCAGGCAAGGCAGTGGTTCTAGCACTCCGAGGGGGGAGCGCCAGGGGGCAGGACAGCTTAGGATTCCCATCCAGGTTTTGAGGGTGTCTCAGGCGGTTGAATCGCTTGCGTGCCCAACAGCCTCTGTTGTCGGAGCAGATCCTGAGGATGGCCCATGCAACGCGCTGGTTTAGGCACCCCGGAGGGGGGGGGGGCGCCGGGGGGGGGGGGGGCACTCCGGGATCCGCGCCCATGTTGTGGGGATGTCTCGGGCGGCTTGCATGCTTCGGACCATGCCAGGTTCTGCTTTCGGAGCAGATTGTGAGGATGTCACAGGCGAGACGCTGGTTTCAGCACTCCTGCACCGGGATGCCAGGAGCTGGGGCTCTATTCTGAATCGCGCCCAGATTATGGGGATGTCTTGGGAAGTCTGCCTGCTTCGGACCGTAACACCCTTTGCTTTCGGAGCAGATTCTGAGGATGTTTCTTGCGAAACGCTGGTTTCAGCATTCCTAGGGGGGGCGCCACTGGGTGGGGACAATCCAGGACTCACACCCAGATGGTGTGGATGTCTCCGGCGGTTTGCCTGCTTGGGACCTTCACATCCTTTGCTTTCGTAGCAGATTGTGAGGATGTCTCAGGCGAGTCGCTGGTTTCAGCACTCCCAAGGGGGGCGCCAGGGTTGTGGACACCCAAGGATTCGCGCCCAGATTGTGGGAACGTCTCAGGAGGAACCCCTGTTTCGAACAGTAGCGGTTTCTGGTTTCGGAGCAGATTCTGAGGAAGTCACTCATACTCAGTCTAATACACACACAAATACACACACACGCACACGCACACACACACACACATGCACGCACATATTCATCCGCACCCAGACCCACTCACAGTCAGACTGACGCATACTAAAATTCAGGCTTCCCAAATTCATACCCAGATCTGCGCACACGTCCACACTCAGACTCATTCGTATTCAGACTCACTCAGATTCAGACTCACTCATACCAGCACGCACCCGTACCCAGACTCTCCCATACCTAGGTTCATCGACACTCAGTTCATCAAACGTACTCAGGCTCATTCATACCCAGACGCACTCGTATTTAGACTCGCTCACATTCCAGCTTGCTCGCGCTCACACCCACGCCAACTCACACTAGGATGTACTCTGATTCAGATCTGACAGCCCTCAAAATTCACCATAGACTCAGTCATAGCCAGACGCATACCCACCATTTGACGCCGTACTCAGACTCAGTCATAGCCAGACGCATACCCACCATATCCATAGTCAGACTCACTCACACCCAGACTTACTCGCACTCGGGCTCATTCGTATCAGGTTCACTCCTGCTCAGGCTCGTACTCGTCGCTCACACTCAGACCCACTGGCACTCAGACTTGCTCATTCTTAAGACCCGCTTGCACTTAAACTTGCTCACACTCGGGTCCACTCGTATTCATATTCCCTCATACTAAGAATCTCTCTCACCTCGATTCGCCCACACATGAGCTCAAGTGCTCCAGGGACCACCCACACGTAGACCCCCCCAGCACTCCAATCACCCATTTCAATCGCCCACCCTCAGATCACCCACGCCTCCTCCCCGCCCTCCTCCTCTTCCTCCCCTGCACTCACACTCAGACTCACTCATACTCAGACTTACCCATTTTCAGATCCGCAGCCACTCACACCCAAACACGCCCATATTCACCCATAAGGAGATCAACGTACACCCAAACTCACTCCCACCCTGATTCACTCTTACTCAGACACACGGGCACACACACACACTCAGACTTATTCGCACCAAGGCTCACGCATACGCAGGCTTGCCCATGCACAGATCCAGTCTCGTCAAGCCCATATTCAGACTCACTCCCATTCAGGCTTGATCACACTCAGGCTCACTCACACTCAGGCTCACTCATATTCAGACTCACTGATACCCAGAAGAACCCGTACTCAGATTCCCGCATACCTAAATTCACTCACATTCAAACCCAGTCATCCGTACTCAGTTTCACTCATACCGAGACTCACTCGAACTCAGACTCACTCACATTCAGACTCGCTTGCACTCGGGCTCAGTCACACGAAGGCTAACTCACTCGGATGCACTCTCACTCAGATTCGCCAACCTTCAGGCTCACTCATACGCAACTCCATCCTACTCAGGCTTGCTCGTGCCCAGGCTCATACTCATAACAGATTCGGGGTCACTCACACTCGGACTTACTCACACAGGTTAACGCATACTCAGATTCTCTCGTGCGCAGACTCACTCACAGTCAGGCCCACTTTCACTCTGACGCACTCCTGGTCACACGCAGACTTGCCACTCAGAGCCAGACCCGCTCTCACTCAGACTCGCTCACACTCAGACCAACCCACCCCCAGACTGACTCACACTCAGGCTCATTCGTATTCAGATCCAGACTCGCCAAACTCAATTCCACGCTAACTCACGCTCAGACATGCTCACACGCAGACCCACCAACACCCAGACCAACCCATACCCGTACTCATGCATACTCTGACGCAACGCAAACTCGCCCATATTCAAACTCGACCATTCCTGGGCCCACTCACACTCAGACCCAATCGCACCCTGATCATTCACGTCCAGATCTACTCACAATCTTCTCTAAGTTTGTTGGTCAATGCTCCCTGAATCTTCACCTGTGTTTCGCCCATCTCTCTTGAAACATGCCCAGTGGATGCGGAAGTCACCGAAGCCGTCGTCGTCGCGCCCGTCGTCCACGCGGACTCGCTCTCACACCCAGATGCTCACAGAACGATTACAGGAGATGCACGTGTGGGGATCTACTCGTCAAGTAGTTTCTGAATTGGCGCTTGAACGCCCTGGAGCCGCCTCCGGCGTCGCCTTTGGCGCTTCGCGCGCCATTGGACGGGGGTCCAGCGCCGAACCGAAAAACAGAGTGGACGATCGATATATTATGGTTATGCAGTGTTGCTTGTTTCGTCTTCTGGGAAAGAGGGGGACGACGAGGAGGAGGAGGAGGTGGAGGAGGAGGAGGAGAAGGAGGAGGAGGAGAAAGAGGAGGATCAGAGGGGGACGGGGAGAAAAAGGTGGTGATCCTCCTGTTCCTTCTCCTCCTCCTCCTCCTCCTCCTCCTCCAACCTCTTCCTCCTCCATCTCCTCTTCTTCCTCTTCTTCCTCCTCACTCTGGATCCTCCTTTTCCTCCTCCTTTCCCTCCTCCTCCTCCTCCTCCTCCTCTCCTCCTCCTCCTCCTCCTCCTCCTCCTTCTCTTCCAGTCGGAAGTTCATCCCAAGCGCTCCAGAGTCAAAGCGGACGTCAGGCCTTGGTCGGGCCCCTGAACTTATCGCAGAGGCCGCTTTCCCATGCAGAGGCCGTTTCGAGTCGCCCCCTCTCCGCAGAGGCCACCACAGCACGTCGGACGACGCCACCCGCTACCGCGGCGGCACCGAGGTCAAGACCATGGCCCGTGCGGGGCTGGAGCCCATCAGCCGCATGCGCCTCGTCCTGGAGAGGGAGAGGCCAAAAGGGGCGCGCGCCCGCCCCCCCCTCATCGCCTCCTCGGAGCAACTCCTCGGGGGCCCTCCTCCTCCCCGTCCTCCCCCTCCTCCTCCTCCTCCTCCTCCTCCTCCTCCTCCTCCTCCTCCTCCTCCTCCTCCGCCTCCCCCTCCTCCCCCTCCTCCCCCTCCTCCCCCTCCTCCCCCTCTCCTCCCCCTCCTCCTCCTCCGCCTCCTCCTCCTCCTCCGCCTCCTCTGCCTCCTCCTCGAGGCGCCCACGGGCGGCACCCTGCGGGCACCCTGCGGGCGCCCACGGGAGGGCCTCCCCCCATCCAGGAGCAGCACCAGCTGCATAGACATGACCTCTCGGAGGTCTGCGCGCAGACTCCCTGGGTCGGCGCTGGGCCCTGGCCCCCAAGGGGAGCACCCCCTGCCCCAAGGGGGAGGGCCCCCTCCCTCTGAATTTCAAGGGGGGGGCTCGAACCGGGTGAACCCCCGCCCCCCCCCCTCAGAGGGTGGGTTCGAACCCCCAGGGGGTGGGCCTCAAGGGTGGGGGGGGGTTCGGTCCAGGCCCCCCGGGGGGGCGGGAGGCTCGAACTGGGGAGTAGGCCCCCCTCACTCCTCTCTCGGGGGTGGGGGTGGGGAGGGGTCGGGGGGCGCGGAGCCGCGCCGGGCGCGCTCCGCGCCGCTCCAAGTGGTCCGCGCGGACCTTCTGGAGTGTGCTTACACGTCGCAGTTCCCGAGCCACGGCTTGTACACTAACGGGCTCCTGCGGTAGGCTCACGCGGCGTTGGCACGCAGGCGACGCTGGCGAAGGCGTTCCAGGTCTAATTCTGCGGCGCGGTAGCACAAGTTTCACCGATCGGGGCCGCGATCGGTTCAAGGTTGAACGATCGACTCGGTGTCAAAGACTTCTGCGCGCGCCGACGCCGCACGAGCCCACAGCCAAGACGCTGAAATACGGAACAGTTTGGATTCGGAAGGGGCTCGATGTTCCTCACGTCCTTCCGTGGTTGTTCCTCTAGCCCTTCTCGTGCACCCAGGCTTCCTTGAAGCCGCAGAGGGGCTTCGTTCCTTATTTCGCGTTCCTCATTTCAGCAGCCCGACTGCACCGTACTTGGCAGGCCAAGGCTTTGTCTCGTGTCGTTCCTGGAGTTTCCCCTGGTCGCCGCCCGTCGGCGCTCAGCGGGCGCCCCGCGCGCTGGCGCCTGCGCGTCCACGTGGTGCCCCAGTCGCCGCCCGTGGGCCTGCCGTCAGTTGGCCAGTAACGCCCCGCGCCCCGGCCCCTCCTTGAACCAAACTCCTCCTCCTCCTCCTCCTCCCCCTCCTCCTCCTCCTCCTCCCCCTCCTGCTCCTCCTCCTCCCCCTCCTGCTCCTCCTCCTCCTCCTCCTCCTCCTCCTCCTCCTCCTCTCCGTCCTCCTCCTCCTCCTCCTCCTGCCGTCTTCGCCCGGTCGTTGCCCGGCGGTTCGTGGGCGCCCCGTGCGCTGCCTGGCATCTCTCCTCTGCACGCAAGAGTGACCCTTCGCCGGAGTGACCTTGGATGCGGGCCCATGGGAGCCCCCTCGATCGCCGGACGCGATGCGACAGAAGCGTCTTGCGCGCCTGTTTCTTACCCAGGGTCACTCTTGCCCAGGGTCACTCTTGCGTCTAGCCGAATTTCCAGGTTGTTCGCCCGGTCGCCGCCAATGGGCGCCCCATGGGCGCCCCGAGCATTAGATCGCGGTTCAGGATGCACGCATGGAGCATGATAGGTCCCCTCCCCCATGGATTTCACCACACAGCATGCATATCGTAATCTGCACCCCACGTTGCACGACACAGATCGCACCACATACATCGCACCACACGCCTTGTACTACAAGGCCTGTACCGCATAGCTAGCCCCATCCTGATAGCACCGCGTATGTTGCACCACGTAAAGTGCTCACAGAGGGTGCAAGAAACCAATGTTTGAGGTAGCCACTGGCTAACGATTTGTCATCTACCCCACATGTTCGGATACCTCCTGGAGGCGCTAGGTAGGTATCTGGTGCTGGAGACCTCCAGAGTGACCTCTCACCAATTCCCAACCGTCCTGTGTTGAGTTGGGTCCTCGTTTTGAAGAGACGGTCCCCGCGTCTCCTCCCTTCCTCTCCTGCTCCTCCCCTCCTCCCTCCACCCGTTGGCACACCCCTCACACGCTTCGTTGCCCCAGAGGGAGCTCCACCGAAGGCCCCAGCGGCATGCTTCGCATGCCCCCCCGCCAACACTTTGTCACACCACCCACACGTTTCGTCGCCCCAGAGGGAGCTCCACCGAAGGCGCCAGTGGCATGCTTCGCATGCCGCCCCCCCTCCTCTTTGGCACACCACCCACACGTTTCGTGGCCCCATAGGGGAGCTCCACCGAAGGCCCCAGCGGCATGCTTCGCATGCGTCGCTGTCCACACCCAGTACACCGCTTCGTGGCCCTCTGGGGAGCCCTACCGAAAGCCCGTGGCGGTGTCCGCATGCGTCTCCCCCACCCAGTACAAGGTTTCGTGGCTCCACCGAGGGTCCCAGTGGCGGTGTTCGAATGCGTCCCACCCACCCGGATGTTTCGCGGCTTCATAGGGAGCTCCACCGAAGGTTCCAGTGGCGGTGTCCGCATGCGTTTGCCCACCCAATACAACGTGTCGTGGTCCCACAGGGAGCTCCACCGAAGGCCCTAGTGGCGCTGTCCGCGTTCGTTCCCGCCACCCAGTACAGCGCTTCGCGGTCCCATGGGGAGGTTCACCGAAGGCCTCAGAGGCGGTGTTCGCATGCGTGCCCCCCCGCCCAGGTAGCTCCATCGACGCCCTCAGTGGCGGTGTTCGCATGCGTCCCCCCCAGCCAGTACAGCGCTTCGTGGCCCATAAGTAGATCCACCGAAGGCCCCAGTGGCGGTGTTCGCATGGCGGCACCGCTCCATTTCGGCACACCCCGCACACGCTTCGTCCCCATATGGAGCGCCACTGGATGCCCCAATGGCTGCGCCCGCATGCGTCTCCGTCCAATTTCGGTACACTCTTTTCACGCTTCGTGGCCCCATAAGAGATCCACCGACGGCGATGTCCACAACGGCGACACCCACATCTGCATATGGTTTGGCCCTTCGCCTGGATAATTGGTTTCATCGGTTTGGGATATTCCCCCCCCCCCCCCACCCTCACCCCTCGTCGACGTGATGCCGGTCGGATGACGGGCCAGGGTGGGCTCCAGGAGAGGTCCGAGGACCAGCTTCGACGTAATGTTAAACGTCTGTGTCGGGGGCCGAGCGAGGTGGAGGAGTGGCCCTCCGATTGTGGAGGGGGGCGGTACCTTTTGAGAAACCTTTTGCCATTTGAAAGGGCCGACCCCTTCGCCCCGCCCCTCTTTAGCGCGCCGCTACATCAAAATAGCACGCAGTCGGACCAGGGTAGAAGATCGAGGTCAGTTCGGGGAGGGTGCCCTAATGTGCCTCGTGCTTGTACTGGGAAGGGTGCCCTTGGACGTTCTGTGTGTTTTGGCCGGCGGAGGGTCTCACGCTCTCAAAGGCTGTTCTTCTGTCTCAGGTCCGACTGCACGGTTACATCATAGCAATGCTTGCGTCGACTGTCCGTGTGGATCTCCTGGGTCGGCGCTGGGCCCCCGCTGGCGCCGCCCCCAGCGCGCTCCGCACGAGAGGGGCCAGGGTCCAGCGCCGACCCAGGAACTCCGCGCGAATCTCCGAAAACCTTTTGCTGATGTCGATGTGGCTCCTTCCATGCAGCGCGTCGCTCGCCACGAGGCTATGGAACGACGACATCGAAGGCCAGCTCCGAGACGCGACCAGGGACGAGGTGAGCCCGACGGGCGGGCCGCGCCTCTCCCGTCCTCCTCCCCCCCCTCCCCCCTTTCCCTGGACTCTGCCGTGTCGTGTCGTCGCCGTCTCCGTCGTCGTCTGCTCTCTGTCCCTCGCCTGCCCCTAGGCTCAGCTCACCTTGGCTGGTAGAGACAGTGCGCGGCGCCCAAAACAGCGAGGTCGACTGCGCCGACAATGGCGTGCAAGCTGCCCGCGTAAGGTCGCGCGTCAGCGCCCTCGTCTCCGATGTGGCGTGCGGAGAGGACGGGCCGCGCAAGCCGCCGCGTAGGGTCGCTGCGTCATCTCTTGTAAGACCCGTTCTTGATCGTCGCTCAAGTGCCCTTCCTTCTCCTGGGCCCTCCGCGCCTCTTCCCCCGACCCCGCCCCCCCCCGCCGCGACCTCCTGCGCCCTGGGCGATTGAGGACGGTCTGCTCTTCCCGATAGCTATGGTGCTCTCCGAGGGCGCGTTGCGGGCCTGGGTACCCACAGGCTTGGATGGATGCAGCTAGTTCGGGGGGGGGGAACTCAGCATCGGCGTTTGTCGGTCCGTGGCCGAAAACCGGTGCATTCCGACACAATCCCGCTTAATGTGCTAGTCCCGCTTAATTCTGCGTAGTAGTGCTGGGCCCCATCCGGCCCAGGCCGACGTCATGGACCCTTACAGGACATGCTGGGCCGCAATCGTTCGCGCGGAGACCTCCCAGGGGCTACTTCCCGACACAGGGGGCCGACGCACGGCGCGAAGCCCATCCGTACCGGGGCTCCCGAGCCCCACGGGTTGGGAGAGACGGGGCACCGACGTGTTCTGAGCCGGGCGCCGCTGTCCCCCTGCTCCTCACGCTCCGCTGTTGCTCCTGCCCTTTCGTCTCCTCCTTCTCCCTCCCTCCCGCTCCGCCTCTTCCTCGTCCTCTTCCTCTTTCTCCTCCTCCTCCTCCTCCTCCGCCTCCTCCTCCTCCGCCTCCTCCTCCGCCTCCGCCTCCTTCTCCGCCTCCTCCTCCGCCTCCTCGAGGTCATGGACGCCCTGAGGAAGGCGGAGGCCAAGAAGTTCTACCCCGTCAGGGAGCTCCGCGGGGGGCACCCTGCACACCACCACGGCGCCTGGCCGGGGCCATCCCCCGGGCCGCGGGACGGCGCAGCCTGGCGGCGCCCACCGGGGGGGGGCGGCGTGGGGGGGCGGGCGGGCGGCCTGCGCAGCGAGGGCGCCCTCGAGGGCGCGAAGTTCTTCGCGCTCCGCGCTTCGCGGTGCGGCTCCGATTCCGCCTGGTCTTCCTCTGCTCCCGGGGGGGGGCGGCGCGACAGCTCGGCATCGCCCGGACGCGTGCATCCTTCTCCGGCAGGCACCGTCGAGGAGCATCTTGGATCACCTCGCGAAGCGGGACGCGCACGAGATCGAACAAACAACACAGGAAATGGATGTCCGAGCGATGGCGAGAGCGCGAAGGGAGTCGTACTTCGCGCAGCGCGCAGCGCGAGGTCAGGCGCCGCCCTTGCGTGAGGGGGGTGGGGGCGGCGGCCCTCGCAGAGGGCGGCGGGTTTCCCAGAGGCCGGGGGCCTTCTTCGGAAGGCCCCAGGGGGGCTTGGCGTAAGGTTAACTCGGGCCTGCCCCTCTACAGGAGGATTACCCAAAAATAGTCAAATCACAGCCTGGGGACTATTTTTCTAGTATGTTTTGATTATTTGGGGGTATTGTTTGAATCGCATTTTATTTTTCGTCCAAAATCCGCCTGTAGGGGGACACGCCCGACCTAAGCAGAAGGCTTTGTAGAGGCCGCCAGGCCGCTCCGAGAAGGCCCCTGCCGACCAAGAAGCTCCCCCGCCTTCTCCGAAGCCCGCCCCTCTCCGCGCCACCCCCCTGTGGGCGCCGCCGAGGTCAGGCCCAGATCTCCGACGGACGATGATCCGCCGAGTCCGGGCGGTCTTCCTCGATCTGGGTCTCTGGGGCTTGTCCCGGGTATGGCCAGGACCCCGGGTAAGGGGACCCGGTTACTGGTAGGGCCCTGGGGCCCCTCAATTGGCCAGAATCACTAAGCCAGGTTTGCCGCAACCGGCGTTTCTCGGGTGACGGCAGTTCCGGTTAGTGGGAATGGGGCGGGGGGGCGCCCCTGGTACAAATCACAAAACCAGGTTCCACTAAACCCAGTTCTGCCAAGGCCCGATTATCGTCGGGAGCCAGGGCAAGCAGAGGGGGATCCCGGGCTGACAACGGGCCCTGGGGAACCTTGAGATCTTGGCGTGTTCGCCCGGCTGCGGGCCCAGGGTTTCCCACAGGTCGAGCCGGCTTGAAAGCGGACGCATGCAGATTGGGTCTGGGTCTTCGGTCGTGATTTTTGTCGCAACGTCGGAGCTCAGGGAAGGGCTCGAAATTTCTGGGGCCGCGCATGGGAAAGATCACATCGCTGGACAGTTGGGCATGGACCACTCCTGGCCCTGGCCAGGAGGGCGCACCCAGACCTTTCTCATGACGTCCCGCACGTGCCACGCGTTTCGGTCCTCACCTCCTCCCCCTACCCCCCCCCCCTCCATCCTCCTCCTCCTTCTCCTCCTCACCTCCTCCAAGTCATGCCCCCCCTCCCCCTTCCCCTCCCCACTCCTCTTCACCTCCTCCTCCTCCTCACCTCCCCCCCCCTCCTCCCCCTCCCACTCTCCTCTCCTCCTCACCTCCTCCTCCTCCCCCTGCCCCCCCCCCCCCCCCTCCACCCCCCCCTCCCCAATTGCTTCCTTCACATCCCGTTCGTGTGCCGTGTCTTTGTGGGCAGCTCCACGCAAGGCGCCAGCCCCAGATTTCGGCACAGCCCGCACACGCTCCGTTGCCCCGCTCCACCCAACGCCCGGGCGGCAGGGTCTGCATGGCGGCGCCGCTTCAAGCCACGCATCTCACACGCTTTGTGGCCCCGAAGGGAGTTGCAACTAACTGCGGCCCCAGTGGCAGCGACCGAGTGGCGGCGCTGCCTCATTCTGGCTCTCTCATGCACTTCGTGGCACCATTGAGGGCAACGAGGAGCTCCACCGAAGGCTCCAGTGGCATGGCCCACGTGACGTCGCCGCGCCATTCCGGCACCACCCTTCACACGTTTCGTGTCCCCACAGGAGTTCCGCCGGAGGCTCCGGGGGCAGGGCCCGCCTGGCGAGTCCCATCCTCAGGCGAATTAGATGTTGCATGTCTATTTGTTGCTAGACGCCTCGGATGTGTTTCGCTACGTTGACACCTGGAGGTGTTGGCCCGTTGTCCAGGCCTGGCTGTTGCACCCCGTGCCTTGATGGCATTGGGGTCTGGCGAGTGGCCCCCAGAGGCCAAGGATTGCTGAGCAACTTCCCGCCGTTGTTTTGCTCCGCGGCGGGAGGAGACCTGGGCTTCTTAGCTGCCTCAGTACGCCGGTTGTGATACGCAACGTGTACCGTGCTCAAAACGTCCGTGCCAATAAATTGCGTGTTGGCTCAGCGGATTGGCCCACGTTTTGTCGAACGTATCGCGCAAGACCTACGTGGTGAGTCTACGTGTTGAGCTCCGTATCGATACGCTACGTGCCGCGTGTTGCGTATCGAGGCAGCTAAGCCAAGGATTGCCCGACACTTTTCTGCCATGATTTTGCTCAGCGGCGGGAGGAGACTTGGGGTCTGGGGTGCAGCTCCTGGCAGGTTAAATTCTGTATCGGCGCTGAATCTGTATGTTCGCTGTCAGTAACCAGCTTAATCTGAGCTAAATGGACTCTTCCAGATTAATCCCGCTTAATCTTGTTGAATCCCGCTTCATCCAGCTTTGTCCCTGGCTTAATCTGGCCTGATTCCGCGAAGTGGCCGTCTAATCGGGCTTCATCGCCCTTACGCGTTCCAACGAAAGCCTCTCAGGAAATGCCTCATAGAAGAGAGACAGACGCTATGTTGTACTGCCGTCGGGGGCGCCTGTCCCAGCGCGGCTGAAAAGTCTGTACCCTCATGTGCTACCGTGGGGGCAGAGCATTTCCAGCCGCGTTGGGGCAGGCGCCCCCGATGGCGGGAAATACGATTTTCGAGCAGTAGCGAAGCGTCCTGGTTCGCCTATAGACCCACCAAAGAATGTTCTGAGAACCTTTTGTGGTTTGCACAAACTGTTCTTAGAACACGTGTGGCTGAGACCGTCTTGTATTAATCAGTCGGTTTCACGGTATAAGAACATTGTTGTTGTTGTTGTTGTTGTTGTTGTTGTTGTTGTTGTTGTTGTTGTTGTTGTTGTTGTTGTTGTTGTTGTTGTTGTTGTTGTTATTCACGTTATATGGTTATAAGACCGCTTTGAGACCGCATTTGGCCAGTCCTCCTGTTCCTCCTCGCCCTTCCTGTTCCCCCTCCCCCTTCTCGTTCTTCCCGACTTCCCTGGGAAGGGGCGAAACTGGTCAAAATCCGGTCGAAGTCTGGTCCCAAATGTGTTTCCAGTGCGGTGCATCCCAGGCCGAAATCGGACAGTGCCGGGGGCCACGCAGGCTCCCATGGAACGATCACCCAATCTCCCCTTAGCAGCCCCCGCGGTCATCCAAGGCGGCATGGAGTCCATGGCCAGGAGGGACAAAAACGCGTAGCCACAAACTCATCGTCAATCCCCAGGAAGATGTTAAGGAAAACACGACCGCCAGGAGTTCAGGACGGGCGTTCTGCCCCAGCCTCGGCCGCCAAGGACCTTTCTCGGTGAGAATCGGGCCGCCCCAGAGGGGCCCGAGGCGACAATTCGGGCCGCGGGGCCGGCGGGGTCGAGAGCTCTGGGGGCGCGCACCGTGCAGAGCCACGACTTCGGAGCTGTGGGGATTGACGACGAGGAAGCGGAGGGGACGACGAACATCCAAGAAGTATGGAGGATACCGTGCATCCCGAGGCAGGCCCCAGGGCCCCAGGGTGGCCGCGCCCGGGCGCGCGCTGTGGCCCCTTGGGCCGCGCGTCCTTGGGAGGACGATGATTGGGGGGGCAGCGAGGGCCGCAAAGGCCCCAGCGGGGGCCTTCGGGGCCCGAGGAGAGGGCTCCTCCTCCTCCTCCTCGTCCTCCTCCTCGTCCTCCTCCTCCTCCTCCTCCTCCTCCTCTTCTCCACCTCCTCCCCCCCTCCTCCCTCCTCCCCTCCTCCTCCTCCTCCTCCTCCCTCCTCCTCCTCCCTCCTCCTCCTCCTCTCCTCCTCCTCCTCCTCCTCCTCTCCTCCTCCTTCTCCTCCCTCCTCCTCCTCCTCCTCCTCCCCTCCTCCCCTCCTCCTCCTCCTCCCTCCTCTCCTCCCTCCTCCTCCTCTTCTCCTCCTCCTCCTCCTCCTCCTCCTCGTCCTCCTCCTCCTCCTCCTCCTCCCCTCCTCCTCCTCCTCCCCTCTCCCCTCCTCCTCCTCCCTCCTCCTCCTCCTCCTCCTCCTCCTCCTCCTCCTCCTCCTCCATCCTCCTCCTCCTCCTTCTCCTCCTCATCCTCCTCCTTCTCCTCCTCCTCCTCCTCCTCCTCCTCCTTCTCCTCCTCCTCCTCCTTCAGCAATCGCCCTCCCATCACTTCGCGCCCGAGCCCCCCCCCCACCCCTGCCGCGTGCCCAGGACATGTTCGAGGACGTCTGGGCCTCGCCCTCGCCGCAGCTCCTGCGCCAGCGGGGTGAGCTGGAGGAGCACGTGGCCCGGCACGCCCCCGCGTACGCCAAGAGCCTCGAGCGGTTCCAGCCCTGAGCCTCGCTAGCGTTCGCGCGGCCTCTTTCGGCGCCCATTTCGATCCTCCTCCCCCTCGTCGAGGGGCGTCCGGGAGGGGGGCGATGACTTGGGGGGTGTGGATGTCATGGCCAGGGCCATGGTATTTCTTCAGGTTTCATGGCGCCTCTTATTTCTTTTTCTTTCAATCCGTCCCCTGCCCCTGCCCCCCCCTCCTCCCGAGCCGCGCACATGCCTCGGCTCGGGCCGCGCACATTCCTCTTAGACGCCCCCGACCTCTCCTTCTCCGCTGCGAGGGGGAGGGGAGGACAGGAGGAGGAGGAGGAGGAGAAGGAGGAGGAGGAGGAAGAGGAGGAGGAGGAGGAGGAAGAGGAGGAGGAGACAACAGACAGGTGAGGGGACAATGATGATGATGATGATGATGATGATGATGATGATGAGGAGGAGGAGGAGGAGGAGGAGGAGGAGGAGGAGGAGGAGGAGGATGAGGACGAGGAGGAGGAGGAGGAGCAGGCAGGCAGGCCCCCCCCTACCTGCTCGCCGCCTTCCCCCCCCTTCGTTCCCTGTTGCCCCTCCGGCGGGAGAGTGTGGGGGCCTCGAACCCCTATTTCATCTCCCTCCCCCTCCTTTCCCCAGGGGCCTCTTCCGAGCCCGTCCAGCCGCCGAACGGGAGCCGTCGGGCGGTCTCGCTTCCGGCGGGGTCGTGGGGGGGGGGGGGGGGGGCGAGGCCGCTCGGGCAGCTGCATCGGGCCCGGTCTTCAGCCCGCTCGGCGGCCGAATGGGCTCAGAGACCCGACGAACAGAAGCATCAGGAGGGAAACAAAGACAACACCGACATCAATAAGCGTAGATCCCCAGGAAAGTATGGGAAAGGATGCGAAGTGGAGGGGGAGACGAAACTCCAGCGGGATGTGTGTGTGTGTGTCTATTTGTGTGTGTGCCCCTGGACCACCTTCACAGAAGTAGGGCGACAGGATCCATGCCCATCCTCTGCCCCCTGGCCAGGCCCTGTCATGGGGCCCATGGGGCGGCGTGCTGCGCCTCCCTGGCCTGGCCAGGGAGGCGTGCACACGGGGCACACTGGGCCCGGGAGGGGCCCTGGCCAGGGGCAGTGGCCATGGTACAGATCTCGTCGTTCCCAGATCGGCGGCGAGCTGCAGTACTGTGTAACCGACCCCCATCCCCATCCCCATCCCCATTCTCTGCGAGACCCCCACCAAAGTACCCCCCCCCAGTTGGGGATACACCCCTCTCGCCAGGCCTGGAGGGGCCTGGCCAGGGGCGCTGGGGCCCGACAGAGTTATTTTGCGTTTGCGTGCCAAAACGTGCTCCTTTGCGGACCTGGGCGCCCTGGCGCGGATGGTCGAACGACACTTGCAGCGGGACACTCTGGCAGCGCGGTTGCCGCCGCAATAACTCCCGGCTCAACGGCGGCACCGCGCAAAGGCGGCAGTGGGCATAGTACAGATGTCGTTGTTCCCACATCGGCGGCGAGCTCGTGGGGAGGTGAAAAAGGGGCGGGCCTTCTTTCTAGGCCTCCTAGATGGGGTCCGAGCAGACGGGGTCGGAGGATCGCGCCGCATCGCCGATGCATCGCCGGTGCGGCTCGATGTGGAGCCCGATTTTGTCCACGCCAACGTTGCCGATGCGTCGCCGACGTCGCCGGTGCATCGCCGATGCAACAGCGATGCACCGCTGATGCAGCGTGATCCTCCGACTCCGTCCACTCGGACCCCATTCGGGGGGCTTCTATTGTCAGAAGGCCCGGAAGCTCCCTGGCCTTCTGAGAAGTTTTTTATGAGATTCCCCCGTGGACGCATGAAACTTCTGAGAAGGCCAGAGGGCTTCTGAGAAACCCCGCCGCCTTCTGAAAAGGCCTTCTCCTTCTCACTTTCCCCTTCGCTCGCCTCCGACAAGAAGGGAACTCCAGGTCGAATAATAATCAACTGCATTAGCCCTAAGTCGAATGAGTAAACTCTGCATGAACATACTCTTTCAGAGCTCCGCGCGTATCTCGGATCTGCGTTGGACCCCTTCCACAGGCGCTACCAGGGGGTCCAGCGCCGATCTAAGAAATCCGCGAGGACCCCCGACATGTTATCTGCATGCTGTTCTGTACCAGCCATGCACCATTTGAGCGTTCTCGACGATGCACCGGTGCTTGAAAACATCCCGAAAGTTAGACAAACAAAAATCAAGGACCTATGGAAACGCCCGAAAACCATATAGGACTTATCATAAGTCCGCGCAAACCTCCCTCAGCTCTCTCCCCAAAGAGTGCTTGCGCTTAGGGGTCCTAGTTTTCTTACCAAAGAATTGGTTGGGTCCAGCGAGGTTTCCCCACGCTCCCTCCCGTGTCCGCCTCGTGGACGCCTCGTGAGCTGGGTGGGTCCGGCGAGGTTTCGCCACGTTGCCGCCCGTCGCCGTTTCGTGGCCGTTTCCAGCTTGCACCACGAATACTGCACCACCCAACCCACACCTCATAGTTTGCACCACATAGTTAGCATTCACATCCAAAGCGCAATCACTTACTATTGTTTGTGCTCCACACTAGCTAACATGTCATGGCGTTTGCTATTGCTACGGCCTTACGCAGGTGTCGCCGACCTTGAATGGGGACGACGACGACGACGACGACGACGACGACGACGACGACGACGATGGCGACGACGACGACGACGACGACGGTGGCTATGGTGGCGGCGGCGGTGCGGTTCACACTGGCTAACATGGTATCGCGTCTTCTACTCCTTTCCTGGGGCTCTTCTCACACAGCCCACACGACGCAGCCTGCATACACACACACCGCATACAAACTCGCACGACTTAATGTTGCACCACGTAGCTCGCACCCCATAGCTCGCACCACCACATAGCCTACACATCCACAGTGCAATCACGTGCTGCTTCTGGTCCACACCGGCTAGTACTGTATGGCGTCTGATACTCCTCGACTGGGCCCTTTCCCTCCCCCAAAGCCCGTCGCCGGCGATCCTGCCGCCGGCCGCGCCGAGGGGCGCCAGCGGCGACCGCGGCCCACGGCCGACCGACAGCGGGGCGCGCGATCGGCCGCCCGCGCGGACGAAGCCCGCCGCCGCCGACGGCGACGTCGACGTCGCCGACATCGACGTCGGCGCCGCCGCCGTTGTCGTCGCCGCCGCCGCACGCCGACTGCGTGGACGTCGTCGCTGCCGCCGTCGACGCCGCTTCCGACGACTCCGTCGTCGCTGCCGCTGTCGTCGCCGACGCTGACGACGGCGTCGACAACATCGGCAGCGTCCACTTCGACGTCGTCCCCGGCGCCGCCGCCGGACCTCGCCGCCGCCCTCTCGCCGGCCCTCGGCGGACCCAGGCGGCCCAAGCTGCGACGAGCAGAGGCGACGGTAGGGGCGAATAACCGAGGGGAGAGCAATACTCCTCCTCCTCCTCCTCCTCCTCCTCCTCCTCCTTTTCCTCCTTCTCCCTCCTCCTCCTCCTCCTCCTCCTCCTCCTCCCTCCTCCTCCTCCTCCTCCTCCTCCTCCTCCTCCTCCTCCTCCTCCTCATCATGTATTCGGGTGCGCCGATGATCTATGTCTTCGAAAAGGCTCCCGGGCGAATGCGTGTGATGCCCGTCCCATGTGCTATTCGCCCCTTTTCGTCGCCTTCCGAGACGAGGATGTCGCCGCCGCCGTCGTCTGTTCTGGGGCCGTCCTGAGCCTCGGAGCCCTCCAGGGACTTCCCCCACGGGTAGCAGTAAGGATCGTACGTAGGGGGGGAGCTTGAACCCCTCAACATGATGACGCTCGTGCGCGTACTATGGCGATCGCAGCGCACCCCCGCCCCGACGTACCCCACCCCGCCCAGGCGTTGCCGGTGCCCAGGGCCCCCACCCCTTTTGGGTAACGACCAGCATCGGAAAACCACAGCAGCAACAGAATCTCTCGGGCGCTGCGCAGTGGGGGAGGCGATACACCGGGGATCCACCGCCGACGGCGTCGTCGCCGAGGCGACCGAGGCCTCGGCGACGTCCTGTCACGCCCTGGCGGCGCTCGGGCTCCGCTGGGCGTGCGCCCAGGGGGTGAAGAGAGGAAGGCGAGGCGCTCTCAGACGCCGAGGAACCGGAAATAGGGATGAAGGCAACAGGGAGTTGCGACGGGCCCCGTTTCCATGCGGGATCGGGGGTGCGTTGATCCGCGGATCCCTATTCTTGGTGGCGAGCGAAGGGGGAAGCGAGAAGGGGCGGGCCTTCTCAGAAGGCTCGGAAGTTCCCCAGCCTCCTGAGAAGTTTTCTAAGCCTTCCCCGAAGACATCAGAAGGCTGCAGGCCTTCTGCGAAGCCCCGCCGCTTTTTGAGAAGGCCTTCTCCTTCTCGCTTCCCCCCCTGACTTCCCCCCAGGGGCTCGCCGCCACCCCGGTTCGCACGACGATTTCTCTGCGAGCGCTCGCGGCCCTCGATGGGCCCGGTGTTGCGCGCCGACGCGACCGATGTTCTCTACACAGACATCGCCGCTGCATCGCCGACGTCGCGGATGCATGGACGATGCGACGCGATCTTTTGGCCCCGTCTACCCGGACCCCATTGAGGAGGCCTCTACTCCAGATTTCGTAATAAAAGGGAGGGGGTCTCATTTCGGGGGGGGGGTCTCTTCCAGGCTATCTTGGAGGGCCTGGGGGGGTCTGGGGACGATGTTTTGGAGGGTTCTCCCACGGCGGAGGTCTGAAATGGCTTGTCTTGGAGGGTCCAGACCCCCTCCCTTTTATTACGAAATCTGGAGTGCTCGTGCTCAGCGTTGGGGCGTTCGTTCGTTCGCGGCCCTCGGCTCCCTGAGGGCTCCCGGGACCTCGCTGGGGCCTCAGACCTCGGACGTGTCTGAAGAGGTCACTGGGGAGATCATGAGACAGTTTGTTCGCGGTGTTCGGCCCCCGGGGGCCGCTTGTTGGTCATCGGGAAAGGAAGGGACAGACCGGGGTAGATGTCCGCCTGGTCCTCTGGAAGGGGTCGGGAAGTCTTTCGTGGGGCAGCCGGCTGCAAAAATGGTAACGTCGGAGGTCTGTGTGTCCATGCCTCCTCGTCTTCTGATTCGTTGTTCTCCTCATCACGTCCTAGGTTCCGGGAGCACCGGCGGTGTCTCTCATCTGGCCCTCCTCGTCATCCCGTCCCGTGCCGCCTCCTGTCCAGGAGTGGGAAGAAAGCTGGGGAGGAGGGAGGGAGACGAGGGAGGAGGAACGATGAGGAGGATGGTATGGGGAGGAGGGGGAGGATGGATGGTAATGGGACCTGCACGTGGTAGAAGGGCGCCGCGTCCTCGTGAATGATCGATGCTGCTAGCGCTTGGCCTCAGGCTGCCGAGGCTCCTACGAGCTGACGGGGGTTTGTGGGGTAGGGGCCCTGGGAATCCCTACGCAGCCCTTCTTGCAGCTCCGCCTGTGTGGCATCAGCTCGACCTCGGACCCACACAGGAAGAGGAGGAGGAGAAGGAGGAGGAGGAGGAGAAGGAGGAGGAGGAGGAGGAGAAGAGGGCCCGCCTGGCCACTCCTTTCTTCTGCGCTTGTTCCTGGTCCGCTTCTCGTGTCTGCTCGCGGCCTGCTCGGTCGACTTCTTAGCCGCTTCCGTCCCGAGATTGGGCCACTCTGCATCCGCTCCGGCAGCTGCGATCCTGGCGTCATGCTGGCTGCACTCCCTTCCAGCAGCGGAGCGCTTGGCATCGCTCGGAGGGTGTGCATGTTTCCATCGGCGAGGACCATCGAGGAACATCCTTGACCAGTTGGCGAAAAAGCCGCGCACGAAACCGAAACAAGACAGGGAATGGACGTCCGAGCAAAAGGCGAGACCGTGGAAAGCTTTTGCCAGGTTGCCTGGACCCTCGCATCCTGCGATGATCGACTTGTCGCTATTACGCAGAGTCCTCGTCCCGCTGGCTTCTCGGGAGTTGCAGCGGTTATGCCAGGCGCTCTCCTCTGGGACGCCTGGATCACGTCGGTGGCCTCGGTGCGAGGAAGGCTGAAGGTTCGAACCCTCCTTCACAAGGATCTGATTGTTGCCGACGCAAGCCGCAGAAGATCAAAGCCAGCACACTCACCTTCCCCCTTCATCTAAGTCGGAACTTGGATCCTATACATCACCAGTGGCGGGCCGTCTTCCAATCCCAAGACTTTTTGAGGGTCGGGGACGACGTCGGGGTGGTGTGGTGTAAACTTGTTTCCCCGTGCTCCCAGGAAACATTCTGGAACATGTATACACCAGGGTCCCGTATACACCAGGCTCCGCTTTCTTGCGCAAAGGTCCCTGCAGGGCCGCACAAACACGTCGGTGTATAGAGCGCGGTTCCCTACTCAGAGCCCTCGGGTCCTCGTCGCGCTGCTCCGCGTCGGTGCACCCCGCGGGCCTGGCTCGCCAGGCCCACCCTCCCGACTCGATGGAGGAGCGGCCAGGTCGACTGTGAGCCGTGCGATGCCAGGCATCCAGCCCGCACGGCGCGCCATGGCTCTCCAGGGGGCGGCGCGCGGGCATCGGAGAAGAGACCGGAATCCCACGACGTCGGCTGGGCGGCAGCGCCAAGCTCGGCACCCCGCTGCGGGGGCTCGGGCCGGCACGGCTGCAGGGCGCGCGTGGCTACATGTTGGTGGCTGGGGGGGTGGGGCGGTGAGAAGAGGGGAAGGTGGAGCGGGATGAGGGGGGACGGGGGAGGGGGGCAGGGAAGCGGAGAGGAAGAGGGAGGGAGCTGGATGGGGGGAAGACAAGCGGGAGAAGGGCGGGGTGCGCGTTGTGCTGCTTTGCTCTAGGCGCCGTGCGTAAGTTAGCCCCCCCCCCAAGGGTCATCAAACTAACTGGCTTACAGGCAACCCGTATAATGAGGACACACGATATGGATGCAAGGGCCTTGGAAGGTCACTTCGAAGTTTTTCGAGAGGGACGCGGCCAGCGAAAGGGGCCGAGGCTGGGCCGAAGGGGCAAGGATGCAAGGGGCACCCTGGGGAAGGTTGCCCATCCTTATTGGAGAGGCCTGACGGCCTGGAGGAGGAGGAGGAGGAGGAGGAGGACGAGGAAGGGGTACCCTGGGGAAGGTTGCCCATCCCTATGATGCGGGTTGACAGTGCTCTGTGCGAGAGTGCGGTTCTTCGCGTCGTCTCGACCGGCGGTGGCCCCGCCGCCGGCGTTCAGCGTTGGACGCCTCCAGCGACCCATAGAGCCGGGGCCCTGAAGAAGGAACCCTTTTCGTTGGGGAGGGGCTCGGTGTTCCTTGATTGATTCACGGCTTGCCTCAGGCTTTCCTTATGTTTTCGATAGGAAGTCGAAGGTTAGCTTATGGAAAGAAAGGGCCTCGTTCCTTAGGTCAACGCCCCCACTGTAGTCGGTCGATGGTGGACGATACCTGTCGTTTCGGAAACGGCCGATCGTTCAGGGTTGAACGATGCTTGCGGTGTCAGGAACCGCCGCCGGGGGTCGGCACGGCACGAAGCCGCGGTTGGCCCAGGTTTTCTTTCAAGGTCGATCTGCCCTCGCACGACACCTTTTGGAATGAAGACCTGCCCTCAAACGCCGCTCCTGCAGAGCAGTCCCCGCGGCAGCGGATCGCGGCAGGCGCGCAGTCGCTGAGGAAGCGGAAGAGCGACTACGGCCCCGCTGTCTCCAAGGATCGGGCGGGGGATGGTGTGCGGCGGTGCGCCCCTGACGGTGTCGCGCGTGAGCCCCCGTCGAGTCGGCGCGCCACGCAGGGCGCTCGCGGTTTGTGCGGGGGCGGTGCGTGCGGAGTGCACGGCAAGTTCTCCGAGAGAAGGAACAGGGTACCGATACCGCTGCTTTTGCCTCGCTCTTGCCGCCGCCGGAGTCTCCTCGGAGGTTGGCTCAGAACGCACCCCTGGAGAGGTCCGGGAAGAAACGGCATCGGTATCGTTGGGTTTCCTTGGCTTCGCCTTTCCGTGTCGACGCGGCGGCGAATGCTTTCAGGTTTGCGCGCTGCCAGTGGCCCATGGTGGGCCGACATCGAACGATCTGCGCCATGGGGAAGCCACGGTCGTCCAAGGTTGGGCAATCCACGCTACGTCGAACAAAACCCACGCTGGGGTTGTCATGGCACGAACCTGCCGTAGGTGAGGAGGGGGGCGGGGGTCAGCCGTGTCGAGTCGTTCCAGGCCGCCCAGATGGGGTCCGAGTAGGTGGGGTCGGTTGATGACGACGCATCCCCGACTCATCCGTGATGCAGCTCGATTCGGGGCCTGGGTTTCTCTTTTACGACGTTGCCGATGCATCGGCGATGCGGTGAAATCTTTCGACCCCGTATGATATATTCGGACCCTGAGTGGGCGGACTCCGATCATGCCTCGCGTGCCGTTTGGCAGTGGGATCCTGCCACGAACGCAGCGCGAGGAGGATTGCACCGTGCACCGTGCACTGATAAGGCAAGATGCGGCAAGCGTTTGTCTGATCTTTGAGTGTGGCGCAGTCGGGACTCGGGGAGGCACACTTGGTAAATGCTTGAGAGGTCCGACAAGTGGGGAGCAGGGTGAAGTTGAGGAGAGTGCACGGGAGAGATGGGAGGAGTGGGTTCAACTAGAGTCTGTTGCCTTGCCACGCACGTGGCCGAACTAACATCAGTCACTGTCTGCGCTGCTGTCAACATATGTGCACTCAACCTAGTGCTGCTGCTGCTGCTGCTGCTTCCCCCCACCGCTGCACACATGAGGGCGGCAGCGGCGGCAGCAACACAAGGCGGCAGTGGGTCATCGCCGCCGACCGTCATGCGGCCAGCCACGTCGAGCGGGTGACGGTCGGCCGAGCAGCGCAGGTATTCACACACAGGACTGGGCACGGCCTGGGACACCCTGGACGGCGAAGGCTCAACCTCAGGGGCCTCCACAGCCGAAGCACGTTGCACAGCATCGCACGCCATGACGGCCACAATGGCCCTCGGCGGTCCACGATAGGACTGGAACAGGCCTCGCTTTTATTCTGCTCAAGTTTTCCATCCTTTCTTGGTCGGGGGGGGGACAGTCACTGGTGAGTCTCCTGCCGTCAGCGGGCGTTGTGAAGCCACACCTCATACAGAAAAACAGACCAACCGAATTCATTCTGGCGAGGGCGCGAGATTGGTGGAGCAGCACACCTCCGACCGACACATCGCCCTCGACCGCCTCGAAACCCCCGCCATACTCGGGAGGCAGGGACAGAACTTCAGGCAAGTCGAGCACGCACGCTACCGAGCGAGGAGCCACGCACTGGGTCGAGGTGGCCTTCAAAACCTTGCATCTTTGAAGAATGATCCTGCAAGGCGCGCACCTCCAACGCCCAGCGAAAGGGAGAAACCGATGCTGGCTCAACTGGAGAGCGGAATTGAACTTATCGGGTTGAGGCTGCTTGACCGAGGGGTCTCAGACCGACCCACGGCTCAACCTCCAACGCGAGCAGCAAAGCTCGCCTGGCTCTGCGACGCACCAGGGCCGCCGTCGTGTCCCGTAGGTCCGTAGTGGGAGGGGGGGGGGGGAGACGCGCACCAGTCTCAGGCCCACTGGGCCGCGACCCCCGCCCAGAAGTCGGCACCGGCATTGCCCTTGCCCTGGCAGAACATCATTTCAAACTCAGTGGTCAACGACTGCGTTTCGTCCTCTCTGTGGGACGCCGTCCAGAGCAAAGAAATCCGCTCAACGAGTGCCTTCGAGGCACGAACCCACAAATCACCGTTGGGGCCCAGAGGAAACTTGGCACGGCCAGCATGTCAGCCAGTAACACTCAACTTCTGCAGTCGGTGACGTAACACATCGGTCCAGTCGGATTCTCCAGGGCCAGGCAGATCGCTTGGATTTCAGCACGGGGAAAAGTCTGCCGACGCCCAAGGAGAATCTGCGCAACTCCACATCGATGGATCCACGCACCAGGCGACGAGGGATCTTGACACAGAACCGCGATCGCCGAGCCGCATCTCCTTCTCCGTGGGTCCGCAGAGAAACCACACCCAGAGCCGTCTCCGCATATGAAAACCGGGCGTTCTCCAGGAGCAGAACAGAGATGACACGCCCTACCAGCCCCTAGAGGAACCTGCCTGTATCCACCGTGAGCTCACTTGTGCACCCCCCCCGAAGCCGCAGGCCAGGTTTGGCCTCCAGGTTGGCCAGAGCTCTGGGAACGAACATTAGCCTAGCGAAGGACCCAACCATATGCAGTTGTGAGTGCCGCAGTTGTGGATATCTTCTTTCGTGGCGCTCCCTATGGGGCCACGAACCGTATGAGGGGTGCGCCGAATTGCGTGGCGGGGTACACAACACGAGCGGAGACGATAGGCCTAATTTCGAGAGACGGAGCGCGGGTGAGTCTGAGCGCGAGCGAGTCTGAGTGTGAATAAGTCTGCGTTCGAGTGAGTATATTGGCATGACTGCGAGCATGGCCACGCTTGGTGTGTATATATATATATATGTATGAATGTGAATGGTTCACGTATGCCTGGCCCTGAGTACTCGTGACATTGAGCGTGGCCGCCGCAGGAAGCTTGGGGCGGCGGCGCCACGCGAACTGCGCCCCTGGGACCCGAGGTGGAGCTCCCTATGGGGCCACGAAACGTGTGAGGGGTGTGCCAAAATGGGGCGGCGGCGCCATGCGAACTGCGCCACTGGGACCTTCGGTGGAGCTCCTTGTGGGGACAAGAAACGCGTGAGGGGTGTGCAAAAATGGGGCGGCGGCGCCATGCGAACTGCGCCACTGGGACCTGAGGTGGAGCTCCCTGTGGGGCCACGAAACGTGTGAGGGGTGTGCCAAAATGGGGCGGCGGCGCCATGCGAACTGCGCCACTGGGACCTGAGGTGGAGCTCCCTGTGGGGCCACGAAAATCTGTGAGGAGTGTGCCAAATTGGGGCGGCGGCGCCATGTGAACTGCGCCACTGGGATATTAGGTGGAGCTCGCTGTGGGGCCACGGAACGTGCGAGGGGTGTGCCAGAATGGGGCGACGGCGCCATGCGAACTGCGCCACTGGGATCTGGGGTGGAGCCCCTTATGGGGCCACGAAGAGCGTGAGTGGTGTGCCAAAATTGGGCGGCGGCGCCATGCGAACTGCGTCACTGCAACCTGAGGTAAAGCGTGCTATGTGGTCACGAAGCGTGTGAGGGGTGTGCCAAAATGGGGCGGCGGCGCCATGCAAACTGCGCCACTGGGACCTGAGGTGGAGCTCCCTGTGGGGCCACGAAGCGCGCGAGGGGTGTGCCCAAATGGGGGGGCGGCGCCATGCGAATTGCGCCACTGGGAACTTAAGTGAAGCTCCCTATGGGGGCACGAAATGTGTGAGGGTCAAAATTGGGCGGTGGCGCCATGCGAACTGCGCCACTGGGACCTTCGGTGGGGCTCTCTATGGGGCCACGAAACGGTGTACTGGGTGGGTCAAACGCAGGGAGGAGGAAGGAGGGGGAGGAGGAGAGGAGGAAGAGAGGAACGCGGGGAACCGTCTCTTCAAAACGAGGGTCCAAAACCACAGGATGCTTGGGAACAAACAGTCTTACCAGAACCCTGGGAACCAGAACAAACAGTCTTAACGAGATCTTCGTGCCCCTTGTTGGCAGGGCACCTCCAGATCCTACGGGGCCACTGTCTCGGGGCTCCTGCGACATCTCGGGCAAAAAGGCGGGCAGGCGCAGCCTGCGACATTCTGCCGCCTACGAGTCCACTGCCCGCCCACGATGACGGCAAGGTTCGCGGACCATCCGTCGAGTGCCGCTGGCTTCGCCATCATGGACAGCTCGATGCTGATGGTGGTCATGTCGGCACCATCCGCAAGGTCCTCCCCAGTTTCGTGCGCGGCAGCTTGCCGCCCGAGAGCACAATCATCCGAGAAGGCACCGAGCAGTTCCACGAAGTGAGCCAGGACGGCCGAGCTGAACTGGTCACCGCCGAAATTCGGGGACAAACATTGGTTGGCGACCCAAACATATGCAATTGTGAGTACCGCAATTGTGAATATCTTCTTCGGTGGCGCTCCCTATGGGGCCACGGTCCGCATGAGGGGTGCGCCGAATTGCGTGGCGGGGCACACAACACGAATGAAGACGATAGGTGATAGGTCTACTTACGAGAGACTGAGCGCGGGTGAGCCTGAGAGCGAACGAGTCTGAGTGTGAATGAGTCTGCGTGCGAGTGTGTATATTTGCATGACTGCGAGCACGGCCACGCCTGGTGTGTGTGTGTGTGTGTGTGTGTGTGGTGTGTGTGTGTGCCTGTGCATATTCCTCTTCCTATATTTTTACAAGCCCGGGCGGGGGGAAAACCCGTCCCCCCCCAAAAAAAACGGACTCCCGGGATCTGGGGCTTTGGGAACCTCCAGACGGGCCTCGAAGCGGCCCCCGGGCCTCGCAGGGCGTTTTGCCAAGCCTTCCCAGCACACCTTGGGCGATCAGGGGGGTCATCGGAGACGTCCCAAAGACCCCCAAGACAGCACAAAAGCGCTCCAAGAGTGACCGACGTGACCTCAAAATGGCCCAAGATGCCTCCAGGACGACCCCAAAGAGGCCTCCAAGAGCACTCCCAAGAAGGCCCCCCGCGGCAAAAAACATTGATTTTCTGTTGGTTTTTGGTGAAGTCTGCGGTTCTCCTCTATTCGGCTTCCCGACGCGCCAAGACGGCGGTCTTCTGGGCGTTCGAAGCCGCTTGGGGAGCTCCCAAATCGCCCCACAACCATCCGAAAGGGCTTCCAGCAGTCCAAAAGAGCCCCAAAACGGCACAACACGGGTCCAAGATGGCCCTCCGAGAGCCCCATGGCGGCCCAAGATGGCCCAAAGACACCCTCCGAAGCATTCCGAATCGTGACCCGGTCGTTCAGGGAGACCGCGGTTGGAGGCAGGGTGGCCCGAGGAAGCCCCCGGAGGCCCCCAGAATACGCCCAGGAGGCCTCCATAAGGACTTAAGAAAGCCTGAAACACTTTTTGTGAGGCCCCCAGAGGCTCTCCAAGGAGGAGCCTCCGCAAAAAAGAGCTGAGGAGGATGGGGAGTGTGCGCAGGGTATGGCGAAAATAAGGAAACAGAAGCATGGAGAAAGGATAACGAAAAACATTATCATAGCGGCGATGCCCGAAAGGCAACAAGGAGTTATCGCTAAATTGTCGGCTTGACTTTCCTGCTATTTCGCCGGTTTATCTTCAGGTTCTTCCACCTCTTCTGCAGTACCCGAGAAGACCAGTTTCTTCGTGCAGCTGGTTCAAGAGCTCCATTTGGTCCCTGTCCAACCGGGGTCTGAATGGTGGAAGAACGCGCTCATAGGATGAAGAGGACGAGGAAGAGCAAGACGAGAGTGCCGATTTCGAAGGCGCTGACGAGCAGTAGGAGGCAAGGAGGTATGTTGATGAAATGGGTGCGGAGGAGGCGTTGCATATTGGGGAGGTCGGGAAGCAAGCTGAGGAGTTTATCTGGCTGAGCGTCAGGGTCCTCAACCCCCTTTTCCATGTAGTCTGCTACGCTCTACGCTGTCACATGCCATGATTATCCCCTTTCTCACCACTCGTGCCCCCCATCTTCTCCTTGCCGTTCTCTTTGTCATCCTCGTCATCTTTGCTCGCTTGGTCTCGCTCTTGGCCTCCTCCTCTTGCGCGTCGCAGTCATCCCTGCTCCCCATCCGCCAGCCGAGGGCGGAAGGGCCCCAGGACCCACACGGCAGGTTCTGCTTCGACCAGATGCTGAAGAACGAGAAGGATTGTCGCGAGCCCCTGCTGCATCCATGAGCAGAATCTGCTCCATCCACCAGGCAGTGCCTCACGCTCAGAGGGTCCTCTTCTCGGGCTCTGTCCCGCTCTGATGTTTGTTCCCGCGGCGTCTGCACCCGAAGATTCCCAGACTGGCCGCTCCCACTGCCCACCCCTGTTTCTATGCATGATAATGCTGCAGTGTGGTTCGGCCTTGCCTGAATTGTAGTTTGGAGGCGCGAGCACACTTACATCAGCACCGTGTCCTTTGTACTCTGCGCGCCGACTTCAAAAGGGCACCGGTCCACTGGTGCCTTGCTTGTTTCGGCCAGGCACAATGAGAAACGAGCACACTTAGAAATGAGCACGATCAGAAATGAACGACGTGTACCTTGTCCATCTCTGGTCCTCGGCATGGGGATTCGCCTCGAATTCCTGGTCAAGGCGCGCCCCAGGAGAGGTCATGGGAGCAGCGTTGTCGGTATTCTCTTACCTCCCCAGAGGAGCTTCGTCAATCGGTCCGTTTCTTCTTCCAGGAGTGTTCCGGTTCCTTCTGCTGCGGATGGGCTGCCCGCCGATTCCGTGACAGCAGTGTTGTTGAATGTTGTGCTGGCCGGCATCCTCCCAGGTTGCGACCGTGTAGGTTTCAGTTGTGATGTCACCATGATGTCACCCTCTCTTTGAATTGTTCAGGGGGGTACGAGTTTACGTGGTGGCTCACGGATCTTAGTCACGTGAGTTTGGGGCCAGCCAGAGTTGCGGCCACGTTCGAAGTGTTTTTCCACGCAGCGAACGTAAACTACCTTGCACAAGCTGTGATGAACAAACTTCGTGATGCAAGCGAGGTGGTGCAAGTCAGGTCAAGCCGTTTATGTGATGCAAACTATGTGGTGAGCGCTATGTGGTGCGATATTTGTGGTTCAAGATGTCATGCAGGCTACGTGGTGCAACTCATCCCGTCACTATTGATTTGTCGACGCCAGCGCTTGTGCATACATCCTAACCACCCACCCACCCGCACTCTGTTTGGCAAATCCCAATGCTGCCGCGACTGCGGTTCCCAGTTGGACTTGGCTAGTGTGTCTCCGCGTTGGCTTGCGTTCGCGCGCAGGGCGACAAGCGGGTTGGGCACGCCTGATGCGGCCGCGATAAAGCTTACGGTGGGGGCGTTGATTAAGGAATGTGCCCAGCAGGAGGCTGCAGACCCTGGATGATTCCTTATCCAATGAGGGCGGCGGTGATATCCATGGCCAAACCTCAATTTGAGTTCCATTGGCTTCCAGACCCTGGATTCCTGATCTAAGGGTTCCTTATCCAATGCCCCCACCGTAAGGGGGTCGGGCACGCCTGCTACGGCCGCGATAAAAGCTCACCGATGGGGACTTCCAGCGCGCCTCGAAGGCGGAGGTGGCTCGCTGGCGCTCTAGTGTGGGTCGGTGGCTCGGGCGGGCGCGGCAGCAGGCTGCTCTCGAGAACAGTGCCAACGATGATGGCAGTGGCATTGGTGGTAGCGATGGTGGCGATGACGACGGCACGGCCAACGACGGCGCCGATGTTGTTGCCGACGGTGACGATGATGATGTCCATGTGCCGGCAGTGAGGGTGATTGCGATGATCGCGGCGTGAACCGCATCGGTTGCTGATGATAGCGGCGGTGATGCGATGGCGTTGATTAAGGCGACGAGGAAGTGCACGCGCGCAAAGCTCAAGTAGTTGCAGACTATCAGTTTCAGAACATGTGGTTTCATATGTTTTCTGTGAGTTCTATTGCAAGATATTGCGCTAACCATTGGTGTTGGACAGATCCCGCCACGCGCGAATGGCGGCGCGCGCATGTGCCCCGCATGATGTGATTTAAAACGGCTTCGTGTGCAGGGCCCAGGCTAGATCAACGCGGATGCACAGTGTATTGGGATGATAATGTGGGCGCTGGGCGAGATTGCTAAAATCGTATGGTTTCTCCACGCGTTCAACAAATCCTTAACGCCAGAACATTTGCATGATTGTTATGAGAGCAAGAACATCGGGCGTTTGATGTTTTTTATGGTGAAGTTCTGGCAAATCGAATGCACAGGTTAAGAATTCCACACATGCGCGCGTGTTGGCTTTATGTTTTTTTGTTGCAAGGGGCGTTCGTGAAATCGAAGTTTGAGATACGCGAGTGCGCGCTCATGCTTTTTCTGGACAGGGTTGCCGGGGGGGAACGATACTGGCCAGGTTGGGATGGTATGGTTTCCCACGTGAAATTGACGATGAGGCAGAAACGTATGTCAATGGCGTGGCCCCCTGGGAGGCCCGATCGGTCCGGGTTCGAGGGGGTCGTGGAGTCATTCTGTTTCTGTCGAGGGAGTACGTCTGCGGTGCAAGTTTTGTGGTGCAAGCCCTGCGGGCGCCCACGGGCGACCACGAGCGGCACCGTGACGAAACTTTGGCACACCCATCCAGCACACAGGGCGCCCCCGAGCGGCCACGGGCGGCGGCGTGGCGAAGCTTCTTGCCCAGGAGCTGAGTTTTTTTTTTTTTTTTTTTAACGTGCAGGCATTCTCCCCGACCAGGGCTTGCATATAGAGGGGCTCTGGCCTCTGGGAGAAGGAGCTGGGCCGGACGGCCAGGCTGGCGGCTCTGTCGTCGCCGTCGCTGCCTTGTCGCCGCCTCGTCGCCACCCCTCGGGACCCTCCAGTGCCAAGGTGGGTGGAAGCCTCGCCTCGGGGCCAGCGGCCCGCTTGGTGGTCAGCGCCGTCGCAAGCAAGCAAGCAAGCAAGCACAGGCCATGCATCCTGAAGGACGCGTCGGCATACTCGAAGTTGCGCTATAGGCAACCGAGTGAGGTAATGAAAGCATAAGTGCGTCGAACATTGTAGCGATGGGAAGAGGAAGAGAGAGAAAGAGAGAGAGAGCGGAGGAGGAGGGGGTGCAACAACTGGCAAAGAAGAAGACAGGATGGCTGATCACAGCTACTGCGTCATCTTGTACACTTCAGATGCCCATTGCTGCCGGGGCCGACCGCGACGACGACGAACTGCCCAATTTTGAGGTGCACCGTTGTTTTGACAAACGATTTTCCTCACCAGCGAGTGGTCCCCACTTGCAGCTATTTTGCCGTAGAGCTTCCGTTGTCTGTCAAGCAGAAGTTCAGACAGAGTGTCTCCTGCGCTTTATTCAGAACCTCCACGCTGCTTACTCTGGACACGTATGAATGTGGAAAACCAAGAATCTTGTGCACGCATCTGCAATGACGCATCTAATATGTTTTTGTCTGCTTTGAATAGCCACAAGGAGTCCAAGGAGTACAGCAGCTTGCTGACCACGCAAGTGGTATAGATTTTTAGTTTCTGGCGCTTCCCGATTGAGGTGTGCGACCAAACCCTCTGCAACTTGTTGAAAATGTTTGTACTTTCTCCCAACCTTCGGGACAGTTCGTTTCCAGCCTTGCCGTCGCAAGATACCAAGCCCCCCAAGTAGATGGCGTCCCTCGCGGTCTTGATGGGTTCGCCTGTGGGTATCACGACTTCCCCGAGAGAAGATATGTTTATCTGAATCGTTTTGTCCCAGTTCAATTCTAAGCCGTACCTCTGCCCTTCTGTCACAATCGCCCCCAGCATAATCTGCAAATTGCTCGGGTGCTGCGAAACCAACAGGGTGGCGTCTGCATACAAGATGTCCCGGGAGACGACGTAGTCCGGCTCCTCTTTCAGAGCCAATCCGGGCAACGCGTCGTGCAGCATAACAGTTTTGAACGGCGATAAACAAGTAGGGGCTCAGCGGGCATCCCTGGGCAATCCCAGCTGATTGTTTTCTCTCGGATGATCTCCCGCATGATTCTCTCGGATGATCTCCGCATAAATCCCCTGCACCATTTTTACAATTGGCCCAGGGAGCCCAAATCTCTCAAGCGCAGCGCACATGCATTCTGGTTTAAGACGATCAAAAGTTTTTGCCCAGTCCAACAATAACAATATGAGCCCGCCACTATTGTTCAAGTGCGCTGCGTCCACCATCCGTCGCACCAACATCAAAGCGCCCGCTGTGCCGCGTTTCGGCCGGAAGCCAAACTGGGACTCCCGCATTCTACTTTCACAGCCTCCGTCGATAAGCCTCCGGTGGATCATTGCCGCAAGCGTCTTGTATCCCACGGCAAGGAGGGAGATCGGCCTGTAGTTGCTAGGTAAACACAAGTCGCCTTTCTTGAACAACAAGATGACGTTGGCTCGCTTCCAAGATGCGGGTAAAGCTTTGGTCTCCCAACATGTCTGACATACGTGCAGTAGTGACCCACATGCTCCCGAATCGTCTACGAGGATCTTCCTAAATTCTGGTGGGACGTCGTCGGGCCCGGCGGCTTTCTTGTTCTTCATCTTCCGGATTGTTGCCCTCAGTTCGTCCAGCGAGAATGTATTCGTATTGATTGGGAGTACTTAAGCTTCCAAGCATATGTGTGCTTGTTGGTGCCAATTCGGCGAATTGCACTCGCCACTGCACTTTTTCGAAGTAGTCCGCGAGAGCGTCTGGCCTGGCTGCCGTGTCGGTGAGGTTCCCGTCGAGATCTTTCACACCAGCGTGTTTGCGAGGAGCATGTTTGCGCAACTGCTTAACTGCATCCCAGCCCCCACCCACCAAAGTAGAATCTAACCAATTCGCACGGTCCTTCTGCGCAGCTCGGCGTACAATCTTGTTGTAGTTCTTCTCGGCTGTGTAATCCCCGGCTTGGCGATACTGGTTTCTCCGTTTGATCAATTCCAATGTCCCTGAAGATATCCAGCGTCGTCGGGCTAAGGCGGGGTGCGACGACAGTTGCTTTGAAGCTTCCCCGAAGGCTGCCTCCAATCTCTTGGCGGCGCCGTCGATCGAGACAGATCCTCCTGAAGTAACCCATCTTTCTTTGAATGTATCTGTAAAGGCTTTCTTTGTAGCCGGGTGTGATAAAGCAGACACGTCAAAGTTTGCAATGTGTTTTGTACCAGTGCCCCGGGCGAAGCAAAGCATAACGATATCTCGGCAATCGTAAAGAA